ACATTTAAATTCTCAGCAATAATTTAGAATAGTTACATCTCATATATTTCAGCTTTTGGAAAAACAAAGACAGAAAGTTAGAATACAAAGAAAGACTTCAAAAATAAGGATATTGTAATGCATCATAGAAGAAGTTAAAATCAGACTATCAAAGACTCATGTTCTAGAATTAAACATAAAGCTTAAAACCTCCCTATGAACCTAAGAGCCTGACATTACAAAATTTAGCCACTGCCTACACCAAGGAATCAATAGTTCTGTGTTTTCAAGGTTAAGAAAACAAAAAATGCTTTGGTAAGCTATCTTTAATGTTTAAGTATTTCTGCCCTGCTTGTATCTTGAATGACTGTATATATATAAACACAGGCACAGCACATATTTGAGAACAGGTCTCACAAACTTCTGTTATTATAGATTCCACAAATATTTTTAAATTTAGTCAATGAGAAAAGCAATTTAGTATTTCAAATTTTAAGCTTAAAAAAATTAAAAGTATTTCCAGGGACTGTTAAAGCTCTCTCTCTAAAAGTATAAAATGTTATACACTTTCAAAGTCTAAGGTGTTCACCTTTTTCTTTGAGATCAACACAGGATACAGAACTTGCTGGTAATAAAAGTGCCCATATACTGTTGTGTACTTATAACCTCAGAAAGGTGGTGAAACAGCTCACAAGGACCCTGTCTTCCTCTCCAGTCTGGAGCACGACCGCTGCCAGATCAGCTGCCCTCCCACCCTGCTTGTGATGTCATATTACACATAGATTAACCTGTCACTCTGCAATTGGTTCTTCCTTGGGGGATTCAAGCTCATTCAGTAAATCTTTGCCAGCTGCTCCAGCTTTGGAAGCAAAAAGAACTGCTCCCTGTTTAAAACCGAGGTTCTTCAAACTTCGGGCATAATCTGCATATACAGCAGTGATGAGTTTCTGTAAACTGCAGTTAAGGAAAAGAAGAGCAAAAAGGGCCGTGATTATGCTACACATGGGCTCTCAGGCAGGAAAGAAGAGCCCCTCTGCCGGGCAACTCAGGAGGAACCTGGGGTCCACAGCAGGCTGCATGGGATGAGCACCCCCATCCCATGCGTTGGGGGAGGCGATTCCTGGCCAGGGGAGACTGTGTCTCAATCTGGAACATCACTACACTTCGCACCACCTGAGCCCAAAGCCACCCCTTCCAGAATATCCAACCAATGCCTCCCAGATCCTCCCATGACCTACACTCAACTGAATTCTTAAAGAAGACGAGAGAAGAGAAACTTGCACGCACAGCCTTGTTCCATTTGAAAGTCGGAGAAGGTGGTGGTGTGGGGGCAAGTATCTATTTCTCTAAGGCAGGAATTGGGTTTTTAGACAGCCCTGTTCTGTTGTGTTCTGATATTCAAAACGGGTACTTTAAACCAGAGTCAACTTTACCAGTGACTAGATATGCATATAATCTTGAGTAGGGCTTTAATTTTTTTTTAAATTTTAATTTAGTTTTAGTTTAATTTTCTGTAAAAATAATATACACAGAACCAAATACCAGACATGTGGAAATGCGGCCAAATGCATTCAAGAAAAAGAGCAATGAGAAATGTAGAGTCACACAGACACAAGGGCTTGGGAGTCATACTCTCAAGCCCATTCTTTTCAAAGAAAAAAATGTGACTCAAGTGATGTCCAGAAGAAATAAAGTGTTCTGGGTTATGGGCTGACCACAGTGGTGTGCCTGGGTGACACATCTCTTTGGAGTGCTATATCTTGTTCCATATTTGATGGTCACTATGGGTGACAGTGGGAGTCTTTCTTTTTTATTTATCCCCATATATATTTTTCCATATAAATATATAAAGTTTATTCCATGGAATGACTTGTTTTGGAAGAGTACTATTAAAGTAACAGGCCCTTACACCTTGCCTAAATTATTTCCGTCACCTTCCTCTTAAGTTCAAACAATATATTACAAAATCGGGCTCCCTCTCCTTGCCAGTCCTTCCTGCCTCTCCCATCCTAGTTAGAGCTGTTCCAGTCGAGCAGCAGCCTTCCTTCTCTTTCTTTCTCCTCCCTTTTCCCCCTGATCCTGGCTTTGGTGAATTAGAACATGGATCTTTCTTAATATAATCTAGATCCTGCCCAGGCAGCACAACTAAGAGGAATTCCAAAACCCACTCATGTCATCTTCTCCTTCCTCAGCATGAACATCCTTGCAAAGGATATCTGTGTCCTCATTGACTTCAAATGCCCTGTACTTGAGACAAGCTTCCACAAATAAGGCTGCTCTATCGAAGTATCTCATGCTGCACAACAGAACGAAATAAGAGTTAGTCGTTGTGATCTATATCGTTTGTGGGCAGAACCATCTATGGGTATATTTCTGTACAAAGACTTATACACGTTTTCCCTGGAAACCTAAGTGTTACATAAGTTACATTAGCACCTTTCTAAGCCCTGGTTTAAAAAGGAAAGGAGGGGAGAATACACATCTCTCTGACTTCAAGCTTTTATTTTTCTATTATTAATAATACTTAAAAAAAACTGTGAAATAGTTTAAATACACAGAAATCTACAGAGATATGACAGCTACCCATGTAC